TGTTTTAAAGCTTCTGCTTTCAGGAGAGCAGGACATAATAGCACGCAGCATGCAGATATGAAGGCGCAGATATGAAGGGGTTCCTGCATGGCCCTGTTAAGTGGGGCTCTCAAAACCGGAAACATTGTACCTTTCAGGGTACCAGCAGGTGTCCCAACCTGGTGCCTTCCAGCTTTTTTGAACTACAGCTGCCATCACCCCCAGCCAACATAGCCAGTGATCAGGGATGATGGGGGTTGTAGATATTTGGAAAACTAGGTAGAGGAATGGGGCCTACACATACAATTACACTCACCCCAAATGGCATGATCGGACCTGCTTTGGTAATGCTAACCCCATCTGAGTTTCAGCTGTTTGAATTAAGAGCGTTTCTATTTGAATTCTGAACAGAAGCCGTGCTCTTGCAAGCAACTCATGTTTGCTCTATCAGCTCAGGCCTGCAAAGCTTGTCTAACCCATGCTCTTTAGGAAACATGGGTGAACCTCCAGGTTCAGAGGCAGCATACCTCTAGATACCAGTTGCTGGAATTGGGACGCGGGTGGCGCTGTGGGTAAAACCTCAGTGCCTAGGACTTGTCGATTGTATGGTCGGTGGTTCGAATCCCCACGGCAGGGTGAGCTCCCGTTGTTCGGTCCCAGCTCCTGCCCGCCTAGCAGTTCGAAAGCACTCTTAAGTGCAAGTAGATAAATAGGTACCGCTTTATAGCGGGAAGGTAAATGGCATTTCTGTGTGCTACGCTGGTGCTGGCTCGCCAGCTGCAGCTTCGTCACGCTGGCCACGTGACCCGGAAGTGTCTTTGGACGGCGCCGGCTCACGGCCTCTAGAGCGAGATGAGCACGCAACCCTAGAGTTGGACACAACTGGCCCGTACGGGCAGGGGTACCTTTACCTTTACCTTAACGGTTGCTGGGTAACAACAATAGGAGAGAGCTGTTGCATCCATGCCCTGCTTGTGCCTTTCCTTGTTGGCCCCTGTGGGGAACAAGATCCTGGCTTAGACCTTTGGAGTGATCAGGCAGGTCAGCAAAAGCGGCAGCACCATCCATTTATTATTCTATTTATCCCCTCTTTCCTCTGTGAGGCAGGGTCAGCTGAGAGGCAGTGACCAGCCCACTGAGCTTCTTGGCCAAGTGGAGTTTTGAACTTTGGTCTCCTAGGTCTGACCCTCCAGCCACTGCACCACGTTGGTTCTCCAAGAGTGCAACGCTTACCAAAAGGCTGGTCTTCTCTTTCCCTTATCACGTTTTTGCACTTGGTGCTGAAAACAGCCTCTTTCCTAGATGTCTGTTTACGAGCTGATTCTTTCCTGTGTTTTGGCGGCTGCTAGGGAGAGTAATCCTACTCTGGGAAGTCCAGTGGTGGGCTTCTCTCGCTGCTGCCTGGCCTCGCTTCACATGGAAGCTATTCCACACACATGGCCCTTCCGACCGCTTCACGTGCCGGTTGCAAGGATGACAAAAGAAATTGGCAGCGAGTGAACCAGCCGGCTCAGTTTGAGGCCAAGAAGCCAGGCTCACGTTTCTGCCTTGTCTTTTTAAGGCCCTCCCTGGCTGAATCAGAGGGTCTTGAGATGCTCTGAGCATGTCCCTGTGGTTTCAGCCCCTGCCCCCCACCCCCAGCATAAACTTTTGGCCGGGGAGGAAAATGATGCACAGCCAGGGGGTGGCAGGCCACTCTCCCTAAAAGTGGAGAGGGGAGAATCTCATCTGGGTCTTTTTGGTGGTCCTGTGGTTAAAACCAGACATTCAGTAATGGAAATACTCCGTACATGACATCATTTCAGGAGCCTTGTGGGAGGGGGATATTCTCTCTATTGTGAACAGTGGGCCACAGTATTTATTTATTTGAGGATCTGCCACTTCCTTCTTTTTTTATTAAACATGGTACAGAGGGAGACACAGAAAGAAGGAATGAAAGAGAGAGAGTGACCCAACTCACAGTTTAAAGGAACTGTTTGCTTATATCATCACTGGTTTCTGTTGTTTTTTACATCTCTACCCCACCCTTCCTCCCAGAGGAGCCCAGGACTACAAACAGAGAGTAATACAATTTAAAATGAAATGAAAATACTTCAAGCATAGGAAAACTTTGAGAGCATTTTAAAACAGCAACACAGCTAATAATCTCAAGGCTGCTGGGGTCTCTCTCAGCCAACAAATGCCTGGCTGAACAGGAGTGTTTTAAATTTCCTCCTGAATGTTAATAAATGGGAGCCGCTGCCACGAAGGCCCTGCCACACATCAGCACCAAGCAGGCAGTGCAGGTTGTTAAACAGATCAAAATCCTCCACATCATTTCTTTTTGGGAGGGCAGGAATGAAGACGAAGCAGATGTGCTCAGGGGATCCAGCATTTTATCATATATGCTAACAGCAAACTCAGTTCTCTAGGTGTTTTTCTTTTAGTCGCCAAAATGGCATCACCCACAAAAAGATGGAGGCTATTGGTAACCTCAGAAGAGCCCCAACTTTTGCAGAAATACAAAAACAAAAAAACAAACCACACACAACTTCATTGGGGAGAAAAACCTTCTGTTGGACTGAACAGCCCCAAAAACAGGCCAATGAAGGTTAAGCATGTTCAGTCATTACAGAAAGTTAACTGACTATTGTGGGGGAAAACAACAACAACAAAAATCAGGAAAGGGAACAGAGTATCCTGAATGAAACTCATCCTTTTGATTCATTGATTAAACATCTTGTGCTTAATTCAAACCTTGAGCCCAATTAACAGTGTTATTTAATTAACAGAGTTAAGTGTTTAAGTTATTGAGGGTTTTGTGTTTATATTCCACTGTACATTTGTTCCTCACATTTCTTAGATTTCTTACCTACCACTTCACCATAACGTCCCAGGGTGGGTTACCCAGCCGTGTCAAAATGCAATATTGCAATCAGTTAAGACTATTTCTCCTTCAACATTTAGCTGGCTGCTGGCTTTGGCTGGCCTGGAGAGTTCCCTTGCCCTTTTCCTGAAGCTCAGTGTGAGTCCTGGGAAATTCCCCTTGTTTGGAAGATTCCCCTGCCCTCCTCCAGACACAGGAGGAGGGCAGGGGAACGGACTGATCTTGTGGTGAGTCTCTCTAGTGGCTGCGAAAGCAGTGGGATGACTCTCTTTCCCAGGCATCTGAGGTTCAGCACAAGCCAAAGAATCATAGAACTGTAGCGTTGGAAGGGAAGCCAAGGGTCATCTAGTCCAACCCTTTGCAATCCAGGAATCTCAACAATGCAGGCCATCCAACCTCTGCTTCAAAACCTCCAAGGAAGGAGAGTCCACCACCTCCTGAGGCAGCCCATTCCGCTGGAACAGCTCTTACTGTCAGAAAGTTCTTCCTGATGTTTAGTCGGAATCTCCTTTATTTTCACCTGAAGCCATTATTTCGAGTCCGGCCTCCAGAGCAGGAGAAAACAAGTTGCTCCATCTTCCATGTGACAACCCTTTAGATATTTGAAGATGGCTACATATCTCCTCTCAGTCTCTTCTTTTCCAGGCTAAACATCCACAGCTCCTTGAACTGTTCCACATAAGCTTAGGTTTCCAGAGCCTTGGTTGCCTTCCTCTGCACATGTTCCAGCATGCTAATATGCTGCTAAAATTGTGGTGCTCAGAACTGGACACAGTACTCCCAAGTGCAGAATAGAGTGGGAGTATTCCCTTGACTATTCCCTTGAACACTATACTTCTGTTGATGCAGCCTAGAATAGTTTTTTTGCTGTTGCATCACACTGTTGACTCATGTTAAACTTATGATCTATTAAGACCCCTTGATCCTTTTCACATGTACTACTGGTAATCTAGGTGTCCCCCATCTTATGCTTGTGCAGCTGGTTCTTCCTGCCTAAGTATAGAACCTTACGTTTCTCCCAATTGAAATGCATTTTGTTAGTTTTGGCTCAATTCTCCAATCTGTTAAGGTCATCTTGAATCCTGACTCTGTCTTCTGCAACATCAGCTACTCCTCCCACTTTGGTGTAATCTGCTAATTTGATAAGCCCCTCCTCAATACCTTCATCCAAGTCATTTATAAAGATGTTGAACAACAATGGGCCCAAGACAGAACCCTGTGGCACCCCACTTGCCACATTTTTCTAGGATGATGAGTTTCTCAGTTTCTCCGGTGGGGGAATCTCTCCCCACCGGAGAAACTGAGCACATAAAAATGCAAAATATATGATGAATTATTAGATTTGTATAAATTGCAGATCAGATTTTTCAAAAAATAAATAATTCCAGATATATCATTTATTTCAGTGTTGTTGTCCCAGTACAGGACATAAACAAATATCCCATCATCTATACAAGGGTTTGGTCCCCAAAGAGGTGAAATGTTATACAGTATGGGTGACAGAGAGTGTCTTCCTTTCCATCTTAGCATATCTGGAACCAAGGGAGCCAAGGAATCTGGGCTAACGAGTGTTTCAGATTATAAATTCTTTTTAAAAAGAAAATGTGTTGTGGGTTGGACCTACCAAAGTCATACCTTTTCCCAAATACTTATTTCTATTCAATGGAACTTCTCTCTCTCCTCTTCCTTTGTCCTATTCATGACCCCCCCCAATAGTTTCTGGAGGGGTGGGGGGAAACCAGAGGAGATTTGCGGCATGTGGAGTGTGGGGTGAGGAGTGAGGAGGAGAGGGGGTCCTTTTGCCCAAGCAGACGTCCTTGTGCTGAGGAGGCAACACTGTTGGATATAACTCTGTGTTTTTATTGCCCCTTTGCATGTGTTATACCTGCAATGACACATTCACAGAAGTCCCCATCCAATGCTGCAGTCAGGGCGGGAGGGAGATGCATGTGTGAACTAGCCTTCAGGGAGAAGTCAGGAAGCCACTTACGCGTTACTAGAAAATAAGACAACATGGGCCATGGCTCTTGCAGAGTTTAAGGGAATCCAATGCAAAAGCTGCACTAGTGGAGGCTTGTTTCGCAACAGCTGAATCCATTGCTTAACCATCTATAGCAGCTGGCATCCTTCTCACAGCCCATTTTTTTCCTTCCAGCAAACCAGCCCAGCTGCCTCCTGATCCTCTCTCTACTAAACTCAGCTGATAAAGGACTTGGCTTCTGGGGGGACCACAGTTTCCCAAAATGGAAAGGTTCCTAGCTTTCAGCCCAAACCACTCTTTGCTCACATTGCTCCTCCTTGCATGCCTGAGCCACCTGACCTTGGCCCAATATGAACATTGGCCGCATTACCCTGAGCAACAGCCTCCGCAGCAGCTGCCTCCCCTGCCAGCCGACATCCCTCATATCCAGCTGCGGTTGTCAGGGCAGAAGAGGAAGCACAACGAAGGGCGGGTGGAAGTCTTCTACAACGGAGAGTGGGGCACCGTGTGTGACGACGACTTCACCATCCACGCTGCGCACGTGGTCTGTCGGCAGCTGGGCTACGTGGAGGCCGTGTCCTGGAGCCCTGCTTCTAAATATGGCAAGGGTGAAGGTACGGCTTTTCCTTGTTCCTGTGCATGAAGAGCATTTGCTTTCTCCTGCCTTCTGCTAGCAAACATTAGCCCAGAGGAAAGGAACCTTTTTCATACACATTTTCTTAGGGGACTACATAGCAGTGGTGGGCAGAGCAATGGATGTGACTCTTAGCCTTTGTAGAGCAGGTTACACTGCAGGCACACAAAAGCCAGAGGTTTCTACCCACACATCCCCACCAGCACCACACCTCCATCTGCACAAGCAAGAGGCTTTATCTACAGTTCAAGGTTGCATTCCATCCAGACAAAAGTACTTGTGGGGGTGGAGCAGGGTGCATCCTGGACAGGGGGGTGTCCTATGGAGAACCCCAAGAACTGGATAGAGAGCAACTCCTGCAGCCAAGCAGGTGCCAAACGTCTTGCTCTGATTTCCTTTGGGCCACATCAGTGAGACTCAGAGGGGGGTCATGTTGTCTGGCCATCACAGGACCTCCATACACACTGCCCAAGCTCGTGTCCTGACTTGGGTGCTGCTAAAGCAGTGGTTTGACTTCACCCCTGGAGGCACACTCCATTGTCTCTCAAGACAGATGGGGGCCAACAACAAGAATTTATGAAGAAGAAACAGAAACTTCAGCAAACCTATCCCTTTTTGAGAAACCTCTTCTAGCCCTCCTCCTCTGTGTAAGGCAATCTGAGAGAGCTATGTCTCAGACATAATCCAGGTCTCCGTTAGTGGCTCTGATTTGGCTTGCCAATGACGAGCAACAACTGGTTGCACTGCTGTCAACAACAACAAACAAACCACTAGGCCATAGTGTTTAATCACTGGGTTTGCACCACTTTCCAGTGAAAATAGAGCTAAGGATGGGTCAGACTTCTGTTCCTAGACCATGATGGAAAAGATGGTGTCAAAAACATTTCCCCAGAAATTTTGCACTGTACTGTGGGCTCAGCATTCATGAAAAAAGGAATAATTCCTAACCCTTTCCAACACAGTGTGGATAAAATCTTGTTTATTCGTTTGGATGGCACAAGATTAGATTGGGATGAGCCTTCCCTTCCAGATCAGCAGATTATATAAGCAAACCATTCGCCCTTTTTGTTATGGCTAGGGGTCTCAAAAGATGGGCGTGTCTGGGGCCTCTCTGGGCCTCTGAGAGAGCCTCTGCATTTGCATCATTATCATGCCCATCAACCCCCCATCATCGCTGACCATTGGCCATGCTGGCTGGGACAGATGGGAGTTAGAGTTCTAGCAATGGTCCTGTAAGGCACACTGCACCTCCTGAAAAACCCATTTTGCATTTGCCCATCCTAGTCCTTATGCTCCCTGGAAAAGACCCAGATGTTGGGAAAGATGGAGGGCACAAGGAGAAGGGGGCGACAGAGGACGAGATGGTTGGACAGTGTTCTCGAAGCTGCCAGCATGAGTTTGACCAAACTGCGGGAGGCAGTGGAAGACAGGAGGGCCTGGCGTGCTCTGGTCCAGGGGGTCACGAAGAGTCAGACATGACTAAACGACTAAACAACAACAGTCCTTATGCATTCCTTCAGTAACTTTACTTCCTTTTGTAACATTAATGGAGAGAGGGGGTGGCAAAAATCTGCACCCATTTATTCAGAGTTTTAGAGGCTGTAGCTTTCTCATAACTACTAGCTGGGATTTAACCTCCCAATGGGCTTTTACCTGTCTCAACCATAGTCCTGCTTTGCCTTTCTGGCAGCTCTCCCAGGTGGAGTAAAGCTTCCAGCATTTATTCCATTTTCCAAAAGGTGACATTCCCATTTCAGAATGTTGCCATTAAATAAGCTAGAGGTATTATGATGCCTGGTTACATTTTGACCCCACCCTCCCTCCAAGTAACTACACAGCCCCACCTGCCAGGGACCCCAGAGTTGGGTCCCTCTCCATCAGGTGATGGAGGCAAGAACTCTGAACCTGAAAGGGAAAGGCATGCAGGGCCAGCCCCAGAGGCACTGCTCCCAATTGACTTGTGCCCGACTACCACCCCATTGCTATCCTCTGACTCGACTGTAGAAGGCCTGTACTTCCTATGCTCTGTTGAAGTAGGAGATTACTAGAGAGGGATGGAACCTTTTAATTAGAGCAGCATTTTGCAGCACAATTAGGTTGCTAGCAGCCTGGTGGGCTTGCTATAAAAGGGCTGGGTTTCAGCTTGTTCATTGCTGGACCAACTTCGGAGCTAAGTGCAGGTCTGCATCTAGCCTGAATACTACCAGAGCCTTGTCCTCCACTTCAGGACACTACCACCTTTTTAGTTTCACAACCACTCTATAACGTAGGTTAGACCCTTTTGTTGCCCAAGTGGCATCCCACTTCCACTCCAGCTAGGGCTAGTACTTTAAAAATCCCTGCTGCCCCATTCAGAAACTAATTGCTGCCTATCTATCTTCCACCTTTCATGGTGTTGCCTGAAGACATACCATACCTCACTTCACCCTGAGGTATGATAGGGCCACTGCCAGCTTAGGTTGAGAGAGACAGACCAATTGGCTTAAAGTCATCTTGTACTGTAAGCCTTATGCTGAGTGGTGGTTTTAACCCAAGTCTCTCTGCTTTAAGTCCCAAACTATAGCCGCTATACCACACATCCTGATACCCCCCTCTCCATTTAGATGACTCAGTCAGTGGTTAAACTGAACCCCCCTCTACAGCTGTTTATTGAGTAGTTGGTGCCTTTGGATAGATGTGAAAGCTGCTAAATATAGAAGGATGATTTTTCAGCCTGGATAATTGGAGGCTGTGGACTAATCAGCAAAACTAGTGGAATTTAGTGACATTGCTGCATTGTGAAGTGATACTCTTGCAGGTTTCAATGAGAGGAACCTGTGATAAAGGTCACTTTATCCTGACCCTTGTAAACTGATACAGCACCATCAGATGATTGACACAGAAAGGAGTGAGGGAGTGAGGGTTTTGTGCAGGCTCCTTCTCAAAGCCTAGTTAATGCTTTGACAGCTTTGGGAAGAAGGTGGTAGAGCTCTAGGACCTGCCAGAGCCTTGCACCTTCTTCCAGGAGGGGCCATCAAATTTTGGCCTTGCTCCTCCCCGCCCCCCCGGGAGTTCCATCTTAAAGTACTCTTGCAGCCCACTTGTTATGAAAAGTTGGACCACCCTGATATCTTGGAAGGAGAATATATGGAGAATATATGGAGAAATAATCGAAATGTATGGCACGGTTTCGGGATCTTTATTTCTTGTCTTTCCTCTGTAGGCAGAATCTGGTTGGACAATGTCCACTGTAATGGCAGAGAGGCTTCGTTGGCTGTCTGCACCTCGAACGGCTGGGGCGTATCAGACTGCAAACACACCGAGGATGTGGGTGTGGTCTGCAGTGAAAAGAGAATCCCTGGCTTCAGGTTTGATGACTCCCTGCTCAACCAAATAGAGGTAAGCACAGCTCGGTATTGAGCAGGGCTTAGCCCCTGAAGCATCAGCTGCTTAGACCTGTGAGAACAAGTTGCCTCCAATTCTTTTGGCAAACCATTGTTGTAGTCAGGGTGCACAGTTCTCAAATTCCATTTAGAAGAATGTTGATAAATGAACAATAAAATATAGATTAAGGTAGGATGCACCTTTAGGCCGTGTTTGCAAACTTGGGTTTTGCAGATCTAGGCTGAGGCAGGGGAGGGGTGTATCTGTAGGCAGATTTAGGGTAGGTGTTTTCCACAACAGGATCCCAGAACCATTGTTCAGGGCTAAACCCTGGAGTAGGCAGGCGGGAGCAGCTCTATTGGTCAGATGAGGATAGAAGGCAAGGCTCCTTCTATTTATATTACACTATACAAAATGTACAAAATACATTGTACGTAGGGTAAATATAGGTGCCTCTTCACCTGACAATGTACGGATGAAGACAGGTGCCCCTCATGCCACAACCAGGTTTGGGCGTTTCTGTTCTAGGGTAAGCTCTCCTCCTCAACTGACTCTTTTCTAACACATGTACCTGACTCTGATTCCAGTGAGGGTTTTCCCCTTCACCAGTTGGCTTTTATTTAAAGATACCTACAATGCTTTTACATTTAAATCAGGTTGACCAGGTGCAAAATAAGAGAGAGGGTGCAGATCACTCTGCACAGCTGGCAGGAGGGAGGTGTTCCATGATTCTCACAAGGGCTGGCCAATCAACAGCTGGATTCTCATGGAAGGAGGAACAGCCTATTGCTCCCAAGTTCAACTTAGTTTGGTGGTTTGGCCAAATAAGTATAGAGCCACTTACTGCAAGTGAGATACGTACTGCTGTACTTCACCCTAGATTTCTCCATATGCCTCTTTGGGGATGTTGTATTAGAGAAGCACCAAGCATGACTAGAATGCCTTTTGCTCTCTTCCTTGAATGTGTGGGCTTTTTGCATTCCACCCTGGTTCTCTTGGAGATGACTCAACTTGGGGAGGTCACAGAATGTCCAAGGTGGCTTGGGTAGTCACTGGCTTCCCCAGGGCCACATCTGCATTCTCAGAGCGGAGACTGGAGGAAAAGATGGATGTCTAGACAGAGGTCAGCTCTCTCTGGAATGCTTTATATATTTAATCATGCAAGTCAGCTTCTCTGCCTACTGCTTTTCCATTTGCTAAGGATTGAAGTGTATGAGGTTAATTCAAGGCCATTCCGATCTACCCTGATGAATCAGTTTGCACTGACCTAACTCTTCCTAGGAACTTGAAAAATCATACTTCGGGGGTGGAAGGAAATGGGAAATAAATTATCTGCGTAGGAGGTAGAGGAGCAGAGGCCTTGGCTTGTGTATATATCAGAACATTCACAGGCTTCTGGCTGATCTGGTGCCTGTTGCATCCATACCATTTTGTGTCTTGCATTCATGAATTGACCTGGAAACTGGTAGGAAATTCCCTGCAGTTCACACTATCCTATGCTTAGCTTCATCCTTGATCAGAGGCTCAAATCTTGGTATATCCTGTGCTTTTCCCTGGGGGTAATCAAGGGTATGCAGTGCCGGCATCTTTCCCACCTAACTGTTAAAAGTGTGGCACTTGCTGTAACAACTTCATGGTGAGTACCAGTACACACACACACACACACACACACACACACACACTCTATTGGGTATCTCCACTTTGGGGGAAAGAGTTCAGGTGGCAGGTCTTGGTGATTTTTTTGCCTGAGGCCCTGGAGACTCAGTTAGCCTAAGGGATGGAATTCCCTGACACCAACTTGGACTCTAAACAGATGGTGACCACTCTCACAAGCCAGGGAAAAAATCACCTTGGAGTGATGAGTGATTTCCACTTCAGCCAGGGTTGGGGAACATTTTTCAGCTGGAAGGCCACATTTCCCTCTGGCATATGTTTGTGGGGCCACATGTCAGTAGTGGGCAGAAGCAGGAAGCAAAAGTGAGCAGAGCAAACAAAGGAAAATTTGAGCATTGGACAGTAGTTTGGCCTTTACAACACTCAGTCGCTCATCTCTGTTCTCCATCCAGATAAGCAAGACACATTACAGTGGAACATTGGTTCCCAAATGCCTCCGTTGTCATATGTTTTGGTTCTCGAACACCAAAAACTCAGAAGTAAATGCTTCTATTTTCAAACATTTTTTGGAACGTGCAACTTGGCTTCCACTGAGTGCAAGAAGCTATTGCAACCAATGGGAAGCTGCACCTCGGTTTTCGAACGTTTCAGAAGTCTAATGGGCTTCCAGTACAGATTTTGTTTGAGAACCGAGGTACCACTGTATCAAAGTTCAAGGACACATTCCAACCAGGCAAAAACATTTGGGGGGTGAAGCAGGGCCAGTGAGGGGTATGACTGGGGAAGAATCCAACGGGCCAGCTAGAGAGGAATGCTGGACCAAATTTGGCCCCTGGTCTGAAGTTCCCCATCCCTGCATCAGACCATAAGCACAGCAGGAGGACTGCAAGAGGCCTCCTGTCTCATAATGAGTATGGAAACCTGATGGCTCTTAAAACAGGGATGGGCAGTCTGTTTTATCCCGTGCCCTAGTGGTCTTTGGCCTAGTTTCATGTGGGTGACAAGAAGGCACAAAATGGGATATGAGAGAGAAAAAAGGGTGATGGGCAGAGAAGGAAGGAAAAGGTGCTGTTGCATCCACAACTGGTTGTGGCTTTATGTACCACCAGCATGTGACCTACTACAGGTTACCCCTAAGGAAATATGGCTCGCAACAGCAAAAGGGTTCCCCGCTCCTGTCTTAAAGGTATGGTTAATACAGGAGTCAGGAGAGAAGCAAGTTGTGGAGTCATCATGATAGACATTGGATGGTAAGGTTGGGTGAAGGTTAGTCTGACTTCTTTGGATTTGGGGGTTGCCCTGATTCTTCTGCAGGCTGTGGAGGCTGGTCCATTAGAGCACATGGGGCACAGCCCCACTAATCTCCGCCTTTGCTTAACCAGCCCTCACTTGCCTACCTTCCTACTTACAACCAGCCTAAGGGGTGGAATTGCCTGATACCTTCCCCCTCCTCCTTAGTCTTAGGGCTTGTCCATGCCTCCATTTGCCCCACCGTTTTCCCCTGGGGAAACCCGCAACTTACCCCTGAATCAGACCAAACGGCAATTGCATTTCCCATGGATTGCTGTTCGTTCTGATTCATCAGTAAAGAGCATCTTTTCCAGGGTAAAGCTGTGGAGTAAATGCAAAACTGCTCTGAGCCATGCTTTCCAGGCATGGGACAAGCATAGCAAGGAGGGGGATAGCAACCAAACCAAAAGCAGGTGGCTGTGCCTGCCATTGGCTCAGTTTCCCTGCCTTCCATTTCCTGTCTTCCAGTTCCACTGCCTGCACCACCTGTTTCCTACTCTTGTTTTCTCAACCTGAGTATGTTGTGACCAAACAGTCCATAGGTCTCTCAGGCTCTCTTCTCCAGTGGATCTCAGGCTCTCTTCTCCAGTGGATCCTTAACTTTTAAAAACCTGCCTTGGATTTTTCAATGCTTGGGGAAGGGGGAGCAAAAGGAAACTTTTACAGCAGTGTTTCAGCTGCAGAAAGTTTAGCCTGTCTCTGTGATCCAACAGACTACTCCCCTTTGGTCTTTCTTTAACTAGTCTGAGAGCGGCATCATATCTTCCGTGGCCACTTGCTCCCTTCAAGCAGCCGTCCTTTCGGCACGTGGCGCTGTGCTGTCCCAGATCCGGCAGTCAATGTCTGTGCACGTGGATGCAAAGCCTCAGACTTTTCTTCCCTTAACACCACAGGGATTCTTCTGTAATGGAAAAGCTGACCATTACTGACTAGACCTGGCCACACAGCTGCTTAAGTTATTACCACTCATTGTACTGTGAAGATTAAAAAACCACCTTATCAGCTCATCAAAAAGCATTGTGCTGTGCAATTCTATTCGACTGTTGTAAGAAACCACCACCATTTAAGTTTCTGGAATATGTAACAACAGAAATGCAGGATCAATTTTTTAAACATATGTATTATTTGTTGCAGTCCAGCCCTAAAGACCCCACTGCTCTCCCTCTGCAGTAAAAAAAAAAGTTTGCTTGAATTAGATATTGCGTCGCTTTCCGAAGATGCTTAGGACATTAGAGACATGGGAAGCTGCCTTACAGAAAGTCAGGCCCATTGGTCTCTCTAGCTCAGTACTGTCAACACTGACTGGCAGCAGCTCTCCAGGATTTCGGGCAGGAGTCTTGCCTAACTGGAGATGCACTTCCTACCTAAGAATTATAGTTGGTGGTAGGAAGGGCGGCAGCAGAGTAGTATAACATCTGCTTTGCATGCCACATGATCAGTTGCCTGGTAATCATGGCTTGCCACTTTGCCATGCTATCCAGCAATATAATGGGCAAAGGAAATAGGACCCTGCTATTTATAATTTTTTTAATTCACACACACACACACACACACACACACACACACACACACATGCATACACATACACAGATGTTTCTTAATAATCTCCCAGACATCCCTTTCAAAAAATTAGTTGTTGACTTTGCCCTTTTCTGCTTAATATAGGTCTTGCTACTAAATATATCAAGGCACTGTGTAAACAGAATGGCTCTGAATTCCAGCAGCATTCCAGCTGTGGGCAGGTTCAGGTACAGGTGTAATAGGACCTAGATCTCAGGTCCAACATTTCTATCTAGAGCACTGTGGGGTTAATAAGCAATAGGGGTATATGTACACATATAAGGGAGAGTTAAGCTGCCCCCAGTCATTAGGAGTCATTAGCAATCAAGAATTCAAAGGTCCACTAATGATCTAAGGTTGAAAATAAGAATAAATTATAGCATTCAGTCTTAGATAATTAGCAGAGCATCAACATATGGATTCCATACCCCTGAGCAGCTTAATCTTCTCATTTATAGAAGAATGTCAAAACAGCTACCAAGATTACCATCAACAAGAATGAGGGTGTTTTACAAATGAGCTTATTTTAAACTTCCGTTGCTTATTTTCAG